TTCTGTCCCCTAGTTCACTCCCCAAATGGCCTCAACAGCTGGAGCTGGATTGATCCAAAGCCAGGAGCCAGGTGCTTCTTCTGGGTCTCCCACACCGGTACAGGGGCCCAAGGACTTGCACCATCTTCTACTGCTTTCCCAGGCCATAGCAGAGAGCTGGATCCCATATGGGATGCTGGCACGGTAGGTGGCAACTTTTCCCAGTATGCCACAGTGCCAGCCCTTAGAATGTTTTTTAAAAACCACAGTACTGGCCGGCGCCGCGGCTCAATACGCTAATCCTTCGCCTGTGGCACCGGCACCCCAGTTGCCCCTCTTCCAGGCCAGCTCTGTGCTATGTCCGGGAGTGCAGTGGAGAATGGCCCAAGTCCTTGGGGCCCTGCACCCGCATGGGAGACCAGGTGAAGCACCTGGCTCCTGCCTTCGGATCAGCGCGATGCGCTGGCCGCAGCGCCCCGGCCGCGGCGGCCATTGGAGGGTGAACCAATGGTAAAGGAAGACCTTTCTGTCTGTCTCTCTCTTTCATAGCCATTTTGGAATCAAATTTAAAGTTTCTTTTTTTTTTTTTATTATTTTATTTTTTTTTGACAGGCGGAGTGGACAGTGAGAGAGAGAGACAAAGAGAGAGACAAGAAAAGTCTTTGGTTCACCCTCCAATGGCCGCCGCGGCCGGCGCGCTGCGGCCGGCGCACCGCGCTGATCCGATGGCAGGAGCCAGGAGCCAGGTGCTTTTCCTGGTCTCCCATGGGGTGCAGGGCCCAAGCACTTGGGCCATCCTCCACTGCACTCCCTGGCCACAGCAGAGGGCTGGCCTGGAAGAGGGGCAACCGGGACAGAATCCGGCGCCCCGACCGGGACTAGAACCCGGTGTGCCGGCGCCGCTAGGCGGAGGATTAGCCTAGTGAGCCGCGGCGCCGGCCAAGTTTAAAGTTTCTTAAAAATAATTCCCAATCTAGTTATCCTGGTTGTATGTATTTTTCCCAGAGAAATGAAAGCATCGATTTATATGGAATTGTATCTATGATATAGATGAAATCTGTTCTCCTTATATTAATGAACAATAACATTGCATAAAAGTTTATAATAACTTCATGTATATTTAACATTACTAACTGGCCATAAAGCCCATCAGATATGGAATTATATATAGTGAAGTATTTTTCAGCAATGAAAAGAAACAGTATTGTTTTATGTGGGTCTCAAATGCTGTATGCTTAAGTGAAAAATAAGGTTCACATCTTACATGATTTCGTTCATTTCAGATTCTGGAAAAGGAGAAACTATAGGGGTCAGCTATAAGATTAGTAGTTGGACAGGGGGTGAAGTGGGAAAGGGATTCACTGTTAGGCACACAGGAATTCTTTTGGAGTGATTGAAATATTCTATAGCTTGGGGGCCAGTGCTGTGGTGCAGCGGGTTAATGCCCTGGCCTGAAGTGCTGGCATCCCATATGGGCACCAGTTCAAGCCCCAGCTGCTCCACTTTTGATCCAGCTCTCTGCTGTGGCCTGGGAAAGCAGAAGGTGGCCCAAGGACTTGGGCCCCTGCACCCGTGTGGGAGACCCGGAAGAAGCTCCTGGCTTTGGATTGCGCAGCTCTGGCCATTGCGGCTGTTTGGGGAGTGAACCAGCAGATGGAGGACCTCTCCCTCCCTCTCTCTCTCTCTCTCTCTCTCTCTCTCTCTGCCTCTCCTCTCTGTGTAACTCTGACTTTCAAATAAATAAATAAATTTTTAAAAAAAATGTTCTATAGCTTGATTGTGGCTATGGTTATTTAAGGGATTTTCACAATATATAGAAATATAAATTTAAAAATAGTTGTATTCTAGGTAAAAAAAAACACTTTATTAAATCTAACTGAAAATGTAACGGGGGAACCTATAGACTTAAACAAAGAAACAAAAAGTAAACGAGGAAAACCATCTTATTGTCATGTATAAACTTTACTTGTGTCCTGATTATCTACTAAGTAGAGACACTGAAGAATATTAAACATTGATGTGCCATTTGGTGACATTGAGGAATTATTGTATATATTGATTTAAGACATTTTTATTTTAGAAGAATATGTCAGAAAAATTAAAATTTTGACAGATCAAATTAATATGATTACTGGATTGGCTGCAGAGAAAACTTGCATTATAAGTAAACGTGTAGATGAAACAAGATTGGCTAAAAATTGGTTGATCATTGAAGTTGGTGATGTGTATATAAGGATTCATTTTATTGTTTTCTCTCCTTTAAAAATTGTTCAGTAGGGGCCAGAATTGTGGTACAGTGGGTTAATATGTAATACTGGCATCCCGTGTTAGAGTAGATTGAAGTCCTGGCTGCTTCACTTCCAGTCTGGCTTCTTGCTAATGTATGTGAGAAGGCAGCGGAGGATGGCCCAAGTGCTTGGGTCACTGTTATCCATGTGGGAGACCAGGGGTTGAGTTCCTGTTTCCTGGCTTTCAGACTGGCCCAGCCTTGGATACTGTAGCTATGGGGGAGTGAACCAGCACATGGAAGATCTCTTTTTCTCTCTCCCTCTTTCTTTTTCACTCTGCCTTTCAAATAAATAAGTAAATCTTTTTAAAAAATACTTCATCTTACTAAAGGTCCTCTGGGCTTAGCCTAACTGAATTTGCATTTTCTTTGTAATGTCCTGCCAGACTTTGCCCTATAAATATAATATATATTTGCCTTAGACTAAGTTAATTTATGTATTCTTCCTTCATTCTTTTTTTTTTTTTTTTTTTTTTGACAGGTAGAGTTATAAACAGAGAGAGAAAGGTCTTCCTTCCGTTGGTTCACCCCCCAAATGGCCACTACGGTCGGCGTGCTGCACCGATCCGAAGCCAGGAGCCAGGTGCTTTTTCCTGGTCTGCCATGTAGGTGCAGGGGCCCAAGCACTTGGGCCATCCTCCACTGCCCTTCCAGGCCACAGCAGAGAGCTGGACTGGAAGAGGAGCAACTGGGACTAGAACCCAGCACTCTTTTCTTTTTGTAAAAGATTTATTTGGCAGTCAGAATAAGAGCGAGATAGAGAGAATCATCTTCCCATCTGCTAGTTCACTCCCGAAATGGCTGCAGAGCCTTAGGCTGGGCCAGGCAGAAGCCAGGAGTCAGGAGCTTTTTGCTGGTCTCCTACATGGAGGCAGAGGTCCCAGCTACTTTCCCAGGCACATTAGCAGGAAGCTGGATCAGAAATGTAGAAGCCAGGACTTGATGTGAGTGTTGCCCTGTGCCTCAGTGCTGGCTCCGCGGGTGTTAATTTCTAGGGTGTTAAATGGTTTCCTGTTGTAGAAGTTAACATAGTATGTTTTTATTATTTATATTTCTGCTTTTTTGACAAGACTGTGAATTGTTTTTGATGAAGGAAAGAGTTTTTATTTTTTTCTATCTTTTAGTATTAAGTGTACGATTTTGTATATGTAAAATGTATACTACCCTTTGAATATAGTAGATTTATTCAAAATAATTTATTTCATATTTTACTGATTATATATCAAGCCATTTAATAGAATTAAAATATTGAAGCCTACTGTAGCAGATTTTTTTAAATGGTAAAGAAGACTATATATGAAAGTTGGGGGAAGGTTTTTAAAAATACGTTATTACAATTTTCAAACTGAGCATTTAGCCTAGTGGTTTAGATATGAATTAAGTCCCAGGTCAGAGTACCTGGGTGTGAATCCCGGTGCTAGCTCCTAACCCTAGCTTCCTGTTAATGCAGATCTGGGGAGGCAGAAGTAATGGTTCATGTAATTGAATCTCTGCCACTCACATGGTAGAGCTGGACTGAGTTCCTGGCTCCAGCTTCAGCCTGGCCCATTTCCAGGCATTATGGGTGTTTGGCATGTGAACCAGTGGATTAGAGTTCTTTCTGTCTGTTTCTGTGTCTCTTTCACAATCGAATGCTTTTTTATTATTTGTTAAGTATTATTTAAAGTATACAAGTTTTATGTATTTCATATATATAGATTTAGGTACATAGTGATATTTCCCACCCGACCTTCCCTCCCACCCTTGTTCCAAACCTTCTTCCTCCTCCCTGTCCTATTCCCACTCTTAATTTTTACAAAGATATAATTTCACTTTATTTTATACTCATAAGTTTAACTCTACACTAAATAAAGAGCTCAACAAATACCTTGAAGAAAAAACACTGTTCCTCAACCGAAAAGACAAGGACTGCAAACAGTCATCGAATCTCAACATATCCATTTCATTACAAAATTGTCCTTGATATTTCTATTATTCAATTATCTGTTTCATTTAGCATTGTTAAATACAAATCAGCATACTTTAAAAATTAACTTATAGAACGGGGCCATCAAAGAAGGAGGTACCTTTCTCTGAAGGAAGGAGAGAACTTCCACTTTGACTATGACCCTGTCGGAGTAAGATGGAAGTCGTCGGCAAACTCAAAAGGCTTCCATAGCCTTGGCAACTCATGACTAGAGCCTAGGGAGATTACTGACGCCATAAACAACAGTGTCAAATTGTTAAGTCAACAACAGGAGTCACTGTGTACTTACTTCTCATGTGGGATCTGTCCTTAGTGTGTTGTCCAATGTGAAGTAATGCTATAACTAGTACTGAAGCAGTATTTTACACTTTGTGTTTCTGTGTGGGTGCAAACTGATGAAATCTTTACTTAATATATACTAAATCTATCTTCTGTATATAAAGATAATTGAAAATGAATCTTGATGTGAATGGAAGAGGAGAGGGAGTGGGAGATGGGAGGGGTGCGAGTGGGAGGAAAATTATGGGGGGGGGGAGCCATTGCAATCCATAAACTGTACTTTGGAAATTTATATTTAGTAAATAAAAAAAATTAAAAAAATTAACTTATAGTGTCATGTATTTTATAATTACTTACTATTATAATTACATGTTAATATTAAGTACATAAATTTTAAAGTAATACCATTTGTTACAACTAAAATTAATTTTTAAAATTTTTTTGCATTAATTGAAAAATTCATACACTTTTTTATCTATTTAATTTCAGTTGTGTTACTTGATACAACAACTGTACTGGGAGAACTAGGGTGGAAAACATATCCATTAAATGGGGTAAGTTTAAATATCTTTTTAAAATTGTTATCCTTTTTAGGGATACTTGTTTAGGATTGCTTATAATAAAGGAAGAGTGAATTTCTGGCTGTATTTGGTATGAATTTTGGCATACAACTTAAACCTCATAAAAAAGATTAAATTCACTTAGAACCAGTAATCAATGGGAATTATATTTGAGCATCCTATAATTGCTCTTTAATAATATGCATTATAGAGGATAACATTGGATTACCTCACATATAAATATTTTCTTAAGTACACTTTTATATGTAAGTTCAAAACAGTTTTTTGTGTATATCTTAAACGTGGTAGCACCAATGAGTATCGTATATAAACTTTAGAATACCATATATGTATTGCACAAATATTAATAACTTTGTTTTTAATATAAAATATTAAGTCTAGTAAAGCAGCATGTGATTTTTGGACTTGTCAGAAAGATAAATTGTGATTAGACTTTTGTCAACTAGAAATAGTTGCTTTTGAAGGATTATGAATGTGTTATTTACATAGTTTTTCAGGTATTGACACTTAGCTATGATTGTGCTTGCATTTTATATGGTTTTTATTTATATTTTGTGTAATCTTTCACATTGGAATGTGTTTCCACTTCTTTTATATGCCAATGAATAAAAAGGTTTGTGAAGTTTTTTACTTGGATTTTTTTTCTATCTAGATAAAATATTCAATAATAGAGTCTGTCAGATGTTTTCAGATATACTGGATTACCTTTATTTTTTCTTAGATACTGGATTTTTCGCATTTGTCACATTCTTAGTTAATATTTTTACATCACATTTTCATTATATCTTCAAATATAAGTCTGAACGTAAAAGCTTCCTAGTGCATGTTTTATTCTTGTAGAACTATCATATATTGTTGTTTGAATTTGAAATTTTTACATCAGAGATTATCCATTAAACATGTATTTTCAACCAGAAATCTTATGAAGAGTTAAATCATTCTCTTTGCTTAACAACGTGCTTGCTTCTTTAGATTTTTAAAAGTTTACTGTGAGTTTATTTTTCTGGAATTTTCATTTTATTCAATTTATTTTGTTAGAATTCTCACCAAGTCATTTCTGAGAGATATATCTTAAAGTAAGTTTCTTCTTTATCTTTATTATCTTATATCTATTAAAATGAACAGACATCACTATCAAGTGTATTAAGTAGTCACATTTACCACAGTTACTTTTATGAAGTAAATGAAATATTTCTAGAATGTCATCCCAAGATATATATTTACGCAAAATGACTTGTAATCACTTAGCAATAATTAAGTAGTTTAAAAATCCTTTATTTTCCATTTTCTGAAAAAGAATGACAAAAGTTTTTGAGACATAATATCAGTGGTCTCACATGGACAAAGTCAAAACATCATGTAGGAACAAATGCGTTTGGCCCTTGCTTAACTGATTGTGTTGGGCTTGATCAGACTGCATTTCAAAGCCAACTGGTAACAAGGAGACACAAGAACTTACCGAATTACATGTGCACTTGATGCTCCCATTCTTGTGATGATTTTTTCATGGATGTCATGAAGTTGGGATTTTTTTCTAGTATTTTAGATTTGTTATGGCCAGAGGGAAAAATTATCAGAGAAATGTTACTTACCTCATAGTGTTCTATTTGCCAAATACTACAGTAAACATTTTCATTTTATTTTCAAAATGGCATTTGGAGGTTATGTGTTGTTTGTATTTCCTACTTGTAGAATCCCAGTATTTAAGATAGAAAGAGAAAAATGCCAGTAGTTATAAGCCAAATCCGGAACGATGGATTCTGATTCAAACTAATATATTTCTAACTCTAAACACTTTGCTTTTTTTGTGTATCTTATTCTGTTTTTGATGCTAAAACAGAATACCTAAGACTGGGTAATTTATTTATGAAAGAAATTTATTGCTTACAGTTCTGGGGGCTAGGAAAATCCAAAATGGAGGTGTTGGTTTCTGGTGAGTAGAAGACTGGCAGGGCAGAAGGGGAGAACGAGTCTGTCTGGGGTGAGAGTGGGAGAGCAAGAGAAGGGTGAACTTGATCTTGAAAGTACCTCCTCCCTCAATAAATACCCATTCACTCTAAAAGGACAGTTATCTGTTCTTAAGGCCATAGCTTTCTGTGATCTAATCACCTCTTACTAGTTGTCAGCTCCCACCATTGTTGCATTGTGGAGTAAATTTCTGACACGTGAATGTGATGAGTCCTATCCATACCCCAGCACCATGGTACTTCTACCAGAGGAGCATTGCAAACCTCAGGGAAGGCCAGTTACTTAGGTGTGGTATTTGTCTAATTGACTCAAACTTCTTTTCTCCACTTGAGAATTATCCTGCCTATCCTAAGTTGTACATTTTAGGTACCAAAGATTAGTAAGAGGAAGGAGAGAAAGAAGCAAGAAAAGAGAAGATTATAGTAGAAAATAAATATAAGAGAGTAAGGCAGAAAAGGAAAAGATGATTAAAATTTATGGAGCATTCACCACATGCTAGGCTTTGTTCAAAGCACTTTACTCACCTCAGGCCCATAAGTTAAGTATAATTTATCTTCATTGATAGATAGGGACATTTAAGACTCAGGTACATTAAGTAACTTTTACAAGGTCACAGAGTCTCAGAAATAGGACAGCAAGACTTCTAGGACAACATATCCTAATATTAACACTTAATGAATGATCATTTCACAGACAGTTGCTTTTTGTTTCTTAAGGGATTCTACTGTGTAAAGATAAAAGCTGATGATCAGTACATAGAGACTAGAGGAAAATTAGCACATGGATTCAGACATTAAAAGATAAACGGTTATATCACAGTTGATACAGGCTTCACTTTTTGGACTTTTAGAAATGAAAACAGAGCATATTAGTTTTCTGAAACACTTGTTTGTCAATTGTGTCAACACCTAAATGTATACTTTATTTTAAACACTGTCCAGAATTCAGATTAAGAAACTTGTATTTTATGTTTCTCTGTTCCAAGTATTCTGTTCCTCTGCTAAAGACAGATTTTTTAATCCTCTAAATTTCAGATTGCAGAGAATTCTACCTAATCGTAAGGCCAAAGAAAGACTCTTCAGATAGTTTTGAGCAATGTTTTATGAAAGCATAATTAAAGGTTAGATTAAATCTATTCAGAGAAAATTGAGAGTGAGAAGTGATGTATCAACTCTTTTTAATAAACTGTGAAGTATCATTCGGCCTTGAGGAGGAGGTAGGCAAATGGAACAGCTTGAGCCAAGGTACAAATTACTGAAAGAGTGCATTAAGTCTAAATGTTGAGAATCATTTTTGCTGGAGGAATGCAGAAGGATTTAAAACTGTAATCATATGATATGGCATATTGTTTTCACATAGATAGCTTATCATTTGATGTTTTAGTTGGTCTAGATAGTGTATCTATCGCTCAGTTCTAGTAGGTAAAAGTAAAAATGAAAGCTTTCCCACTTAAGCAAATGAACATTACTGAAGCTTTCGTTTTTTTACAATGATAATACAGACTATTAGAAATGAAAGACCCTATGGAAAATTGGAATAAATATATGTGACAACATATAGATGACATGGCATTATTGATATATTGAGAATAGAATGAAATTGAATAATTATATTTGTATAGATGATGAAGCCTGGTCTCAGAAGAGATTGAATGCATCAGAGAATTTAGGAACCAGTGGTTGTAATTCTTAACACTGTGCTCCCTCTGTCTAATGTCAAGAATTTCATGTCTACATATTTCAAAACTCTTAACAACTTTATCCTATAAGGATCCCCTCCATCTTTTACCTGTCAGCATAATACACTTAGATAATAAAATTGTGATGATCTAGCGAAGAAGCTAATATAGTGCCTTGGTAATCATTGGAGGAATATATATGAATAAAAATGTTTTGTATTGTATTATAGTCTAAAAGTTCTAAGTGAATATCAAAGAAATGTTTTCATAAACATTAAGTGTGGGCATTTTCTGTGGCTTTTCTGTTCGCTGTGAAAAATTGATCAGTGGTTATTCTTGAACCTTACTTTATTCAGAACTATCTCATTTCAATTTTGATAATCTGGAAAAGAGGAATTTCGTCTTTAAGAAAGCTGCTATGTTAATGCTAATTAGAAGAGAAAAGGGAAAGATACTGCTCAGGCCACAACTTTGTTCAACAGAAGAATTTTTAAAATATGTATCTCCTGGGTTTATTATTCTAAGCTGAAAATGTAAAAGAAAAAAAATTTTTTGAAATGTTATCATGTTTATATCTTTCCTTTGATTATTTGATTTATTTTAAGCCAATATATAACATTGTAAATTAAAAGTAAATACAATTATAATAAAAGAACTTTTAGTTAAATTTAATATTCAAAATATTTATACTCACCACTGGGCCCTATTCAATATTGCACAGCAATATATAGGTCATATTGAGGCATCCTGTCTTAGTAGTAATTCTTATACCAGGATTACCTATGATAAAATATAAACTATGTAAATAGTTCATAATGTACATTTTAGGGAATAATGGCAAAGATAGTCTGTATATATGCAGTTTCTTCTGAATATTAGTTGGATCTATGGGCGCAAAAGCTATGGAAATAGTTGGCTGATTGTATGTTTTGATTATATATTACTAAATTAGCCTGACAGCCAAGAATTACCAAGGCAGATATTGAAGGTAATAACCTTAGATGTTGGACTCCAGCATGATACCAGCCCCATAAAAGCTGCTGAATTGGAATTAACCAGGATTCAAGAGGCCAGCTTATTCAGCTTCAAGTGTTCCCTGAAAGTTATCATAAAAATTAAAAGAGGACTGGCGCTGTGGCTCACTAGGCTAATCCTCCTCCTGCGGCGCCGGCACCCCAGGTTCTAGTCCCGGTCAGGGCGCCGGATTCTGTCCTGGTTGCTCTTCTTCCTGTCCAGCTCTCTGCTGTGGCCCGGGAGTGCAGTGGAGGATGGCCCAAGTCCTTGGGGCCTGCACCCACATGGGAGACCAGGAGAAGCTCCTGGCTCC